AATAATAATTTTGGCTCCAAATACGTCAACTTCCCTGCACAACAGATTAAATTATTATTATTATTATTATTATTATTATTATTATTATTATTATTATTATTTGTTTGTTTTCTTTATATGCATTAATGTATTTTTCCTCCAATGCTTACCTTCAAGCAGTCTTTGACTTTATGTTGAATTTGTCCAATATGTAACTACTTCTATCTACAGTGTGCTGTGTCTGTAATTGGCCTTGCGGCTGTTGGCTCAGCACAGAAATCATAAAGAAATTATTATTATTATCGTTACTCCTTTAGTGTGATATTGTCCTTACGGTAGAAGCTATAGGTACACTGCTTGTCCTGCCAGACCTCTGTGCTAAGTTCCTCCCCTTTATTATGATCTTGTCGTCAGTTGTTTAAGCGTGAAAATGTTTCCATTTTGCTGTTAATGTGGAAAGGGTGTGGATCCAACCACTTCCTGCTGCTCGTGAGGCGAGAGTTTGGCACACATCTGCTAGGCGGATATCAATTCATGTTTGAATGGGACTTCCGCACAGCAGTACCGACATAGGGACCTTCTCTTTTCACGGTTTCAGGATTGAACAGACATAAATTTGAGGAGTCATTTCTCTGGGCTGTGACCCCTTGTGGTTCGAAGTCCATCGACGTTTTGAAGGACAGTATCTGCTCCATTCCTGAGGCCAAGAAGGGTTTCTCGCTTGGCTTACTCCTGATGATACAGACGGTGTGTTGCCCAGGAATTAAGATGCACTCATACCAATCTACACGACGCTAAATCCAAGATCTTAGACACTTCATAGTCAACGTTGTGATAAACTCAAATCAAAAAGAAAGAGAACTAGAGTCCTAGACTTAAGCGAGAAGTTTCAACTATGTAAATGTGAAAATATAAAGTTATTTCCTTGTATAATTAAGCACCACGTCATAAGAATGTGTGGGAAGTGGATTATTGGTCATGGGAGCTGCCAGGATTTTTGTTCCACAGGTTGGGAATGGGGCCACCAGATTTGTTCTTTACGTTTGAGCCTTTTAAGAATATTTTCACGGTTCGTCTTAGAGCTGCAGGCATCTATATTTAGACATATATAAGGTGATATTTTAAAAAATAACATTTAAAAATGTTTAATCTATTTCCTTCCCCTTAATTTTGATTTTTCTAAAAAATTCCGGGACAGAAACTTGCCTCTACTGATGATCATAGAGGTATGGCTCCACACATTCTAAACCTCTGCATTAGATTGGTGTGAGTACTCAGTTTCATGCCATTGCCATGTTACCCTCCGTGAAAGAACGTTGGTACTTGTTCTATAAAGCGATGAACAATAGATTAGGTCTCAACGCCATGAAAAACAGAGAAATATCTTGCCCTTGTCGGAAATCGAACTCCTGTTTCTTGGTCGTTTATCCATGTATTATTACCTACACCGTCATAAAATATTTGGATCTATTTTGTGTTAGAAGCTCTGCTTCATTCCTACGTCTTGCTGTTTGCTTGATTTCCATGTTTTTCGACCTTAATGATAGAGAAAGTACATTCATCCAAAACATCGGTACGTAAATTTCTACTGGACTATACGGCGTCATATCCCATAAGACGGCACTCTTCCTCATGTATACTATTTCTGACAAACTTAGTATATTCTCCAATTCAAGAATTTGTCTTTAAGTTTGTTTTCCATTTTCATGTCTTTGGTAGTTACAAGCTGAACAGGTTGTCTGTATCCTACAGGCCGAGTTATGTTCTTTCTCCCTCTAGCATACCAGCTCTCTCTGTCCTTTCTTACTTACCGTTTCTTTCTTACCTGCCTGCCAGTAGGTTGCTCTGGCATCGTCTTAGAAAGGCTCGCCTGTAGAGCAGTCGAGATGGAAATGCCAACATCCTGAATCATGGATGTATTGACTGTGTTTAGAACACTTGAGAGAAAAGCGATCAAACATTTTAAGTGTTAGAGTATTTTTGTGGGTGTGAGAATGGTGTAGTGCTGTGTATTTGAAAGTGTTTATGTGTAGTGTTTGTAGAAATTTTAGTGTAGCGTTCTTGGAAAGTACCGTTTTCTCTCGACAGTTGTAACAACTCTGACGCAGACACAGTCGTTTCAAACTGTGGATGATTTTCTAGGGTAAGGAAATTATTTTAATAAAATATCACGTATAATTATGTGAATTTATGTAAGCTGTGTTATATACGATAGTGAATAACATAATTGGAAAAAGATCTTTAGCGGACATCATTAAATGCAAGACCAGATACAAATATTTTGTGTAAATATTGTTATGCCCGAAATTAACGATTTGCTCACTCTCCATATGCTATGAGACAATTTAATCAAACTTCTTCTTAATAAATGTACTATGTTCATTATAATGTGTCAGTTCTAATGAAATATAATATGCTCGTATTTATTTGTAAAAGTAAAGTTGTTCCTGTGCTTAACGAAATAAGCATTAAGCCATGAAGGCGTATGGGGACTGGATGTATAGGTCCATATTTTGTTGACCTCGGCACTAGCTGGAGATGAGTAGTCAGCTTCACGCTACGGCCGCTTTACTCCGGTACCAATTGGAGAGGAGGCAGGGTGAACACCAGAGCCGGTCTGAACGACTTGAAGAAGAGAAAATTTTTTACCCTACTAGGACTCGAACTGCGACAACTCGGTCGTCCAGCCTTTAGTCAGTCGCTATACCGACTACGCTACTCCGGCGCCCATATGTATTTGTAAATGAACATATTTTACTTGTTTTTTTTAAACATTTGACATTACAACGATGTTAATTATATCATAATCGATAAATAGTTTTAATATCTGACTGAATTATGCATACACGTATTTTAGCCTTGGACAGTATAATATTTTGTGCCGGACCGGTTATTGATTTATCCTGTATTACTATGTTCGTCTCTTAAACCAGCGTTTAAGTCCCCACTTATTCTTAATCTGGTGCAGTTCTGAAGTAAAAAGTTGAAGTTAAAGCTTTCCCTGTAACAGGCCGTGAAGGCCCATAGGGTTGTGAGAAGTCGCGGCTCCAATATTTTCCAGACAATCGTCTTACAGATAACGGTAAGTTTATCAGTCTTATGCTCCGGCCGCCCTTTACCCACAGGAAGATTCCTGGTAGTATATCAGATGGGGGTGCACGCGATAGTATAATGGTTGATGCACTGTGCTACAAGCCAGAAGGTCGCGGGTTCAAGTCCCGATGAGGTCATTGGATTCTTTTCAATTGCCCTAATCATTCTAGCCGCACTATGGCCCTGGGGTTCACTCAGCCTGTAACAGAAATGAGTACCAGGAATATTCTTGGAATAATCATGGGGGTAAAGGGCTGCCGGCGAGTAGGGCTAACAACTTTACCGCCATCTATGAGCCGATTGTCTAGAAAATGTGGCGGCCTCGACGTCTCATATCCGTATGGGCCTTCACGGCCTGTTACAGGGACATCTTTACTTCTTTTTATTTTTCTAGTAAATGTGATATTTAATTTTACTGTGATTCATAGAAATAAAAAAAAAGTAAAGCTAACCCTGTGACAGGCCGTGAAGGCCCATAGGGTTGCGAGACGTTGAGGGTCCTACATTATCTAGACAAGGTTGTCAGCCTTACGCACCGGCCGCACTTTACTCCCCAGGAAAATTATTTAATTAATTCCTTCTACTCATTTCTGTTAGAGGCTGAGTCGACCTCAGGGCCATAGTGCAGCTGGAAGGATTAGGACTATTGAAAAAAATCCAATGACCTCATCGGGACTTGAACCCTCGACCTTCCGGCTTGTAGCATAGCACCTCAACCAACTACGCTACCGCGTGCCCCCTTGTAGTTCATAGAAAGGTGGCTTAAATAGATAAAATTACAGTCTACATGGACCCTACAGGTGACGTAGGACAATCAAAATTGATAGCAATTATTATGGGTAGAACCGCCATTCTATTGTCCACAGTGAATTTTGGCATTTCAATCTTGAATATTTTTCGAACCCTGTAATATAAGACAGTGGTACTTAAATATAAATTGAGTTTATTATTTTGAATCAAAATATATTTCATGTGTGAGTATCCATTGTAACCTAGAATCTATGCTGGAATCCAGGTACTCTAAATAGGGCCTAAATTTATGATGGCCGTAAGATCAACTTCCTCATGATAAGTTCACACACATTTCTCTTACAATAGTTGTGTATATGACTGCCTCTGTGGTCTAGTGGTCAGAGTTCGTGGCTACAGATCCAGAGGTCCGGATTAGATTCCCGGTGCTACCAGATTTTCTTAGAAGTAGTGGGTCTGGAACGGGGTCTACTTAGTCTCGTGAGGATAAATGAGGAGCTATTTCAAGGAAATAGCGGTTCCGGTCTAGAAAACCGAGATTAACGGCCGTGGAGGTCCGTTACGCTGACCACGCGACACTTTCTAACAGCAAAAGTTGGCACTAACTTCGCCGATAAGCGGCGGTCGCTCGGTCGGTATAGTTCGCTTGCGGACTACAGGCTATTGAGTGTGTTTGTTTTGTTTATAGTTGTGTATATTGGTAAAATTTATGTGTTGCTTATAGTGTTTAATTACATGCTCAGTACAGTTAGTCTGTGAATTCGTCCTGTTCGAATTTCTCGCCAAACTTTCTCACATTGTATGAAACAACTTCACCGTTACTTACATCTCTTTGTTCTGAAAACCTAATAAGTGCACGGACTTGGAACTTTTCTGTTTCCGAGCGCATATTCTTCTTATCCGTGCGTTGAAATCTCTGCCAACTCGGTGAGAGTGCATGACCAACTGTAATCATATTTAGCTACGGAGACGTGTGGGAAAAATGTGATGCCATTAGATGCCGCCATTCGCTTAGGCAACAAAGGAAACAGGGTTAGTAGTCACAACAAGTTCTTAATTTCTCTGCTTATTAACTTCGTATTGACACTGAGACAAATTAAATTACGAATCTCATTCAAGTTAATTTCATGAAAAATGTTTTTGTTTACGGACCGCCTCTGTGGTCTAGTGGTCAGAGTTCCTGACTACAGATCTAGATGTCCCGGGTTCGATTCCCGGCGCTACCAGATTTTCTGAGAAGTAACGGGCCTGGAACGGGGTCCACTCAGCCTCGTGAGGATAACTGAGGAGCTATTTCAAGGAAATAGCGGCTCCGGTCTAGAAAACCGAGATTAACGGCCGTGGGGATCCGTTGCGCTGACGACGCGACACCCTCTATCCGCTAAGTTTGGTACTAACTTCGTCGACAAGCAGCGGTCGCTCGCTCGGTATAGTTCGCTTGCGTACTAAAGACAAGAAGTTTGTTTTTTATTTACGGTTAATTCAGCGATTCAACTCAGATTGTATGTCTTAGATGAATTAGATCCATAATGAATAATGAACTGGAAAGGATGTGGAAGAAAACGGTTATGTTCTCATTTGAAGTTCTATACCGGAATTTGTCTTGAGGGAATGAGGAATACCACAGAGGACCTTAGTACAGAGCGCCGATGACTTGGTTGACATTCGAACCAAGTATCTTGAGAGTACAAGTCACAAGTGTTATTTCTTGAGCCACTTGTTCGGTATATATGCTTTATCTATTAATATCTTCCATGTCTTCAAGAAAACACTCCAGAACGTGCCTAAAATAATTAGATGTGAAGAAGTAACAACCAAATTCATGAGCAGATGATTTATAACCAGATATTTATGCACGTTTTATGTCTTCACAGGTAATACTAAATTTCCCCGTTTTGTCTTTAGGTAGTTTTGTCTTGTTTTGTCGTGTTGTTACTTCCATTATTACAAAACTTTATATTTATGAAGAGCAATAAGAAGATTCTGAAGGGTTCTGACAATTGAGATTAGCTCTTTCTAAGGGGTCCAACTAAGTAGGCGTCTTCCTTTCTCACCTGAAGGCGGAAACAGATCCAGTTTCCGAAACGTCGTGTCCTCCATTACCTAGTGTGTCCTCTATTATCTAGAATTTCCGGACAATGGAAAAAGTCCAAAAACCCAGTAATTCTGTGAACAGTAAGCGGATTTACACAACACAGTAAAGACAATCATAACTATGAATAGGATGTTTTCTAATTATGTATTACACGCACGTCCCATCATCAAAAGAGAATAAAAAGGCATGTGAAGTGCATACTCCTACGCACTATATTCGAATTTTCTCCCTTGATGCGCTGGAATGTGAAGGTGTAGGAGCACGAATTCTTACCTTGTAGTTGTACTTAAATCGTGTCTCCTCTACTCTCACTGCTCTTACCTTCCTCTTAAACGATCCATTTATTCTCTTATTTTGTCGTCTTGGTTATGAACCCCATAGTCTAGTGGTTTGTTACCTGAGAAATTTGCTATCAGCATTTTCATGAACCCTGGAAATGGAAGTAGCAGGTTGCTCCGAAACTACAATATATACGAATTACACAGTGCCTTCGAGAAGGAGACAGAAGTTTCTACCGAAATGTTCGTAACCATGTAACAATCTTCAAGAAATCCTGATGAAGGAGGCAGCTGAGGGTTCTAAAATACATTTTTCTTTGTAAAGTACTTAACGATCCGTCAGTAAGTGAGAACACACAGCAATAAGAGATGGAAAGACAGTGAATATGAATTAAAAGAACATGTTGAGGACAAACGTCCTGGACTAATTTAGTGTACTATCGCGGCATTTACCAAGAGGGACTGAGAAAGAACACGAAAAGAACCTCAATCGGGATGGTCAATGCCTCAGTCGAGATTTGAACGGGGAATCTTTCGGATACGAGTCAAAATCGTTGGCTCTTTATACATCATGTTTTGTCCCAAAATGTTGTAACCATCTACCAGAATAAACGGTTTCATATCCTGGAAGACGCAATGTGAATTTAATTTTAACTATGTACGTGTGTTCAAAAATGTGTTAGGCGTTTCAAAACGATATATATCTTTTCATCAATATTCATATTTTTCAGTAATTTACGCAATCATTCGAAGCATAATATGGTCTGGTCTGGACTGGAAATTTACCGTAGGCTTGCACTGTCACAGTCATTCTTGGTTTCGAGTCCCGTCGGGAACCATGGCCGTATTTGTCTCATTACTCTGACGAAGCATGGACTTCATCCAAGTAATACTAAAAATTAAGTATATCCCGCAAAGAAAACACTGCCTCCTGTATAAAAATCTGTTAATTCTAGGAATTTCTGAGGGTTTGGACTACTGGAAGGTGGACAAAGTCCAGAAACCCTGCAATTTCGAGTGTTGTACACCATCGTCAAAATCTTTTGTTAAGAGGGGCAGTCACTGTTTATTCTGAAAATCATACGAAACGCACAAATATAATCTTGGGGGGAAAACGTTGATTTTTCTATATCTCGAGCATTCATTGGGGGCTGTATAAATATTTAATGGCGTGCTTTAAAGGGTTAAGAAAGTAAAAAATAGCTTTCAGTTGTTGTGGCCAACGCAGATGTCATTGACTTACCGACCTACTTAGCTGTAAGCTAATGTTCACCGTGACCGTACCGGTATGAGCTCCGTGGCGGCAGTGTATCACCAGTGGCATCGAAGACCGCAGTCTGACGTCATCTGAGAATCACGAAACAATGTCATCCACTAAACCGAAACTTTTGATGGAATTAAATTTGTAATTACAGTTCAAATCTCATTTTTCCACTTTCATATCCAAAAAGCAGAATACAGTAATATATAAAGCTATAATATTATCTGTAGGAGTTGAGGTTATGCCACCGGTGGTTATGAAGAGTTCCATCTTCTAGGATATAACGCCAGATTGACTTTCAAAGGACTACACGGCCTTGCATCCCAGAAGACAAAACTCTGTTTGTTGCACATGCGTGAAATTTTGTTTCTCATATTAACGGAAGGAGAGAGAATAGGGACAAATAGTGCTGTCTTCTGGGTTGTAACGTCTTGTAGTTCAGAGAGAGCCAGACGTTTCAGCGGAACATATCGCCTCCATCTTCAGGGTCGGAGAGTAAGCCAAACAAGTTTATCTAAGAAGAAAGCAGTCTTCTGGGATTTGGCACCGTGTATATGTGGTGTTAACCGACGTTTCGGAGGAACGTATCGCCCCCATCTTCAGGGTAGAAGAAAAAGTATAAGAAATCTGCAAGCGACAACACCGTGAGAAACGGNAGTTTGACGCCTACGTTTGTCGGTTTCTTGCACTCTTCACACTTCATTTACTGAAAATGTAAGCCATATGTTCCTCCGAAACGTCGGGCTGTCTCCTAACTACACGATGGTCTCTTGAGGATGCCGTAATGGACCTTCGAGTGTCAGAAAATTGGCAGATTTCCTGAATAACTGAACAAAATTTGGCCTTTCAAGAAGGGATCTGCTCTATGGAATCAGCCTATTTTCGTTTCTTGTATTTTCCAGTTCCAATACACCTGCCTTGGCCGCCTCTGTGGCCTAGTGGCCAGAGTTCCTGGCTACAGATCCAGAGGTCCCGGGTTCGATTCCCGGCTCTACCAGATTTTCTGAGAAGTAGTGAGTCTGGAACGGGGTCCACTCAGCCTCGTGAGGATAATTGAGATATTTCAAGGAAATAGCGGCTCCGGTCTAGATTATCGGCCGTGGGGATTCTTTGCGCTGACCAAGCGACACCCTCTATCCGTTGAAGTTGTCACTAACTTCGCCGACAAACGGCGGTCACTCGGTCATTATAGTTCGCTTGCGGACTACAGGTCACGGAGTTTGTTTTTACTATGTCTGTATTTACTTGACGTCGGTACTAGAATGTTCAGACTCCCAGCTGTTGCAGCTCCATAGAAAGAGCTTTATCCCTAGTATGTTGCTCATGAGGAAGGGGGTTTAAGCGCCTATCTGGGCTCTGTCGCAAATTTTGCCCTTCCGGGAATCAACCCCCGGTCATCCGGCCTGTAGCCAGTCACCACTGACTGAACTATCCCACCGGTGTTGAATGGAATACATTGTGAGCTCTCTTAAACAGGAAACTGCCTTTTGCGATAGGTCATCCGTTTACCTTGTGTGCACTATGGCGTTCGCTACTGCTTCCTGGTACAGATAGCGGTGCTCAGTCAGGCGGGCGTACGTGTGTGAACGACCTCGTCTCGTTTACTCATTCTTAACTTCCGTCCCTCGTCACCACGAGACGCATGTATAGATCCTGGTGTTGCGAAACAGTCGCGTTGAGTGTCCTGCATTACAGCGCCGCTGTCTGATTGCTCCCCGCATGGCCACGAGTCGTCGCGTGCCCACTCTCTTCCGCCTGGGCGACTGAGCGATTTGCGGCAAACTCTCGAGCGAACGCGCTATACGTATCACCTGTACCAGAGTGACCGAACATACATACACAGGTCTTACTTGTGTTCAAGTGGTAGTTGGGTCGAAATCAGGAGCGGCCCGTGTATAGGCACTGCGGAACTGCAGCACCCCCAATTTCCACTTGATATTATCGATAACATTTATATAATGAGTCCTTTTTTCTTTAATTCTTTCTTTATACAAGTACAATACAATATATAATCCTTAAGCTTAATGTCAGTAGCCAAATCTTTGTATGGAACTGTGAGTTTCACAGTTCCAGCGGCGAGGTGTTCGTTGACTGTGCGCATGCGCATATAGGAAGCTAAACGCGAGGCTGCAAGGGAGAGGGAGCACTGCAGGAACGACAGTGCCGACCGGTGCCGACCCTGGCGTGCTGGTGGAAGGTAGTTTTTTTTTTTACTCCGCGTGTGTTGTGCTTAAAAATATGAGTTAATTGTAGAATTAGATTATTATCCTGCTTCCAGCAATTCTATTTGATTCATTTTTTTCGGTTCTTTTATTTAACAGAAAACTTTAACCATGGCCTAGCATCCCCGAGAAATAAGTTCTGTGACTCTTAAGTGAACTTCAACAGCTTAAGTTTTCACAACTGTCTATCCGTGAGAAAGTTTCAGTTAAGAAAAGAGGTCGTTTAACACCTGATATTCTAATATCTGAGCCAGGCATAAGCAAGAACAAGAAATATATTCGTAGCTTTAATTCTGAATGGTACAAACGGAAAAGTTGGCTTTGCGACTGTGAAGTAAAAAATGCACTGTTTTGCTTCCCGTGTTTGCTGTTTGGGGTGATGTAACGTGGACAAAAGATGGTTTTAGAAATATAACCAAAATGAAAGAAAAAACTGAAAAGCATGAGAAGTCAAAGAAGCACGTTGATAATGTAGTTTCACTGTCACTTTTAGGAACCGTAAGTATTAAGGAGAAACTTAGTGAGGCATACAGACTTTCAATCAATGAGCATAATATAAAGGTTAAAAAGAATGGATTTCATTTTTAAATGAATAGATTAAGCTTGAACTGTAACAATTTAGGTTAAAGTTAGTAAAAAATGTTTGATTTTGTTTTTTTAGGATTTTATCAAATTTCTGAATAAATTTTCTTTTTATACATGTTTGTTTCAATTTATACAATTTTAAAACAAAGGCTACAAATTTTCTGGAGCAGCACCCCCACTAATTTTAGCTACGAGCCGCCACTGGTCGAAATCCCGCCGCACTGCCGTCTGTCTCTTCACGATTCCCTTCAGCTTTGCATGGTAACTTGAAGCAGGCCACGACCACTTCCAATTCATCATACACAACTATTATTGCACTTATTTCAAGGTAACTAATGTATTTGTCACGTGTAGGGTGGTACGCTTGACGAAAATAACGGATTCTAGTTCGGATGATTGGATTTATTAACACTTCAATTACAAATTCTCTTAACTACCATTATTACAGTGTTGTTACTGATTTACACGCTTTCCAGTCCACAGTTGCATACGCACTAGGATTCCCAGTCTTCACTAGTCGTCTCCTGGCAACGGATCTCAACATAGAAACTAGAACTTCAGATCACTATAAAGTCTTCTTGCTATTTCGTCTTCACTCACTCTGGAACCTCGGAACTAAAAATTCTTCTGGACTCACTGTTTCAGGTTATGACTGACTCGTAACTGCCCCTGAACTAACTCTATCAGAGTCAGAGTCAGAGTTACTTTACGACTGGCGGTTTACCGCCAATCAGTTCGTCTTGGTATCAGGCTCCTTGAGGCCCACGACTAGAGATTCTTTTTCACTAACTCTGTCATTGCATTTACTTCCCTTGTAAGCACTCTGTACAGACCCTATGGAAAACACAGTCACTATTGTTAATGATGTCACCGCTTAGTCGGAAGTTTATTTACCGAGCCGTTGCTTAGAAACAGGTTGCATAACCCCGTAGTTCCACCGCTGCTCTGCACGGACGACATAGAAAAGACGGCTTCATCTATTGTTGCCTATTGGACCTTGTTTACAGAGCTGTTGCCTGGCAACGTGTTGATCAAATCCGTTACAGTATAAAATTGTTACAGTTTCACCAATCAACCCATGAAATTGGCGGCAGAAAATCTCTGTGTATAGTGAGTAGGCTGTGGGGAAGATAACCGAAGACTTAGGGCCAGATTTCCACCAGGACCAATAATTTTTTCTCTGCTCCACAGGGTTTACCGACCCTTCCGTACAATAGGTAACAGGGACATGTTTTTCAGGGTGTACAGTGGTCTGGGAGTGAAGCTGACAGTTCATCTAGTGCCAGTGTTAAGAATGATGGAGCTATACTTCCACTCCCTGTACTTCTTTATAATGTGATGCACGATTAGACAGAGGGGCATTATCTCTACCAGCCATTTTGCCTGAAAATTAAGCATGTCTCATCTCTAGTACTCCCACCAAGCCAAGCATGGAATCTTTTGTTCTGAAGTTCATGTTTCAGATTCGGGATTATTTTTTCATTAAATCTTTCATAGTTTGCTTAAATGTCTAAATTTATAATTGTTTCTTTCTTCTAGAAAAGGAAAATACACAGACAAAACATACCAGCTCTGGCAGACACACCATATATGTATTTATTTACATACTTATTTGTACATATAGAATATGTACATGTAATATGTAATATTATTTGTAATTGTCATAGAAAATACGGATTTTAAAACATGAACATCAAGCTGACAATTCTGCAACCTTAAAGACTGTCTCTAAATTGTTACAGAAAAGTATTGTGAAGTCATATCCTGGTGCCAAACATGAAGAACTCTGAAGAGGGGACAAGAATTCTGTGGCTTTATCTGATAATGTTCTTGTGGGACTTCGATGTTGAAGCTCAGTCTTTAATCAACCGTGCTCCCTACTTCCTGTCTGGAGGTGATATGGCCAGGTTCTCATTGCCTGAGGATACCAAAGTCGGTGCTCCTGTGTACCGTTTACGAGGTCTTGATCCTGAAGGTTCAGATGTTCATTACAGCATTAGCGGAGAACAACTCACAGTAGATCGTAAATCAGGAATTGTTTCATTGCTCAGGCCCTTGGATCGGGAAACCATTGATCTGATGGAAGTCATTATTAGTATCACAGGTTGGTCAGACTTACTCATAGGATTGTGTTATAATTTTATATTTATGGTGGCTTCATTTGTTACTGAAGAAAGGCAGGTGAGTGTATAAACTTCTGGCTTGTCCCAGTTTTGGCGCTGCCTAGAAATATTTGTACATTCTTCAAGTCATAAAAGAAATAGTATTGATGAAGCTAACATTGTCTTTGTGCATAGCTAAATGGTGAAGTATGCAAAAACATATTTGAGCCCGTGTCAAAGGAAGTTGTCCTCTGTGTTTAGGAAAGGCAGGTGCCCAACATATGCCACTAAGTTGTCTGGAGAGAGAAAACTTTAACATAAAGGAGGAATTATTATGTAGAAAGATAATAAATTGCACAAACAGAACACACACGAGGAATATAGGGAAGTATTTGGATAGAATCAATCACAAATGCGAAATAAATTGGGGAAAACAGTAAACTGTAGATAGATGTAAAAATGTAAAAAACTGTATATGTGAAGGGGAGTATCCTCCTTGAGGACTACCATATTTAGTACCTGGTCTTTCAAGTTTTGGGTTAGTCATGAGGCTTATGACCCCACCCCCCAAAAATTTACTGCCCTCCATGATATCCTTTCTGTCTCCAGTCTTTCTACATGACCAGACAACTGTAATTATTATAACTCTCTTAACAAATTTTGAATTTGAGTTTCTACAAAGGTTTCTTTTGTGTTGATATATATTTCGCATTACACTAAATTTTTCCTTTGGAAATTAATGTAATAAATTAATAAAATTTTGTATTGCAGATGAAGGAATTGCAGGGTCAGAGCCAAACACAGTGTCTTTGCGTCGAGAAATTCCAGTTCTGGATGTCAATGATAATGCCCCAGAATTCCATGGTCGTCCATATTCATTCACTGTAGCTGAGACTACCCGTGTTGGAACAACTCTCTTTAGCAATATCACAATAACTGATGAAGATGGAGGGGTTAATGCAGATATTATGTTAAGCTGTGCTGCAGATAAAGATAATGAAGATGTCTGCTCAACATTTGGTGTAGTTGCAGAGAAGGTAAATGCATCTTACTGTTTGCTACACATGTTTATTGTGCACAGATTTTTAGATATATATTTACACAAAGCACTCTTACTAATGTTAAGTAAGAAAGTTACATATTTTTACCATATGAACCAAGTATTGCTACTTGTATTGATACAAATATGTTCTACCATTTACTTATTATTCATATGATGACCCACTTCTTTCCAATGAAGGATACAGTATCTACCTTCTTCCATTGTTTATAACCATGTAGTACATACAACAGTAAGATGGTGGCAGGTTTTCATATATAATTTTTTGTATTATAGAATTAAAAAAAAAGTGTAATATCATCAAAAAGGAAAAAGACATGTGGTAATATCACTGAAATAATGGATGGATTCAGCTTTTTTATATAAATTCTGTAGCAGGCCTCAGTAACCATAACACTGGATATATTGATGACCATGTCAAAATGATGAACTGAAGCTGGCCATGCATAATGTGAAATCTTATTTTTGTGAATGGCTTTTTTTAAATGTATTTGTTCTTTCAGTCACCAGGATGAGTAAAATTGGCGCTAAAAATAGACTGCACATATTTTGCTAACTGCCTGCCTGCCTGCCTATCCAAATAACTACAAAAGTAGAGTCCTAATAGTTGCTAATAGTTGCCACCTAGTGAAAAACTTCCCAATATATATAATGGAAACCATGGAATCCCAAGGTTCAATACTCTGCTCAAAACAGCCTGCAACTCTACCCCTCCTGAACCAGATGACTCCAATCCAGATTCTTCCATCTTATTTGTTTAATATAAATTGTGTAAGATTTGAGGCTTTCACGACGGTGACTATGAAGAAAGCAGTCTTCTGGGATTTGGCACCGTGTATATGTGGTGTTAACCGACGCTTCGGAGGAACGTATCGCCTCCATCTTCAGGGTAGAAGAAAAAATATCACGGTGCCAAATCCCAGAAGACTGCTTTCTTAATATAAATTGTAATATTATCCTCTCATCTGCACCTGAGTCTTTTAAGTGGTCTCTTTCTTTCGGGTTTTCCTATCGAAACTTTGTATATATTTTTCTTTTCTCTCATGCATTATACGCGTACATGCCACTCCTAACTCATCCTCCTCGATTCTGATCATCATTAATTATATGTGATGAAGTGTATGAAATATTAAGCTTCTCATTTTGAAATTGTCTTCACCTTCATGTTACTTCATCCCTCTTTGGTTCAGATATTCTCCAGAGGGCCCCTTTACACATAGTTTACAAAACAGTATTAATGGATATTGTTAAAATATTTCAGATAAGTGAAGGGGAGTATGTAGGCATAATTTCACTTCTGAAGCCTCTGGACTATGAACAGCGTTCTGGATACAGCCTTGTATTAAAAGCAACTGATGTTGCTTCTGAACCATCTGCAAGACTGACGGCAATTGCTAATGTTGCTATTGATGTGATGGACATTCAAGATCAACCTCCCATCTTCTTGAATTCTCCATTTTCTGCAACAGTAGCTGAAGCCACAGCACCTGTAAGCAACAAATGCATGCTCAGAACTTCAACAAGGATAATTTCTTGAGCTACAAGGATTTGTTAATATTTATACACATATGTATTACAGTGCTCTTTTTATCCTAATACTAGAAAGTTTTATTGTGAAATATTCCACAAATTTTACCTTTATATCCAGTAGATTAAAAGGTGTGTGAAAGCTCTTACCAGGCAGCACATTATCATATTCTCAGGTCTTCAATTTGTGGGCTTCATGTTTGACATGGTACTTGACTAGAAATAGAGTAAGTGCACTTTAAGTTTAAGGTAGGTAAAATGACTGCTACCCAGTTCATACCCTGAAGGAAATTTAATATGTATATTGAAATGAAGGT